TTATCAATGTCCCTTACAGGCAGAGAGAAAAATTGGGAGGAATTTGGAGTACTCAAAGTTTATGTGCACATGAATTAGGATTGTTAATAGAGATGTGCAAACCTACATCTTTTCAAAATCAAGTATACTGTAGTTTGTTGCCTGACTAAGACTTTTTCTTATAGACACCGTGTATAATTAGGCTGGATTTGGGGTCATCTGACCTCGATCGTCCGATGTTCTTGCCTTTTTGTATGGACAGTTTTTTAAGTTCCCCTTCAGGAACTCGAGCTGCGTCGAGATTCGCTTTGGGAACGCCACTGCATGACCGCGTTCTGAAGCGCGTGTAAAATCAGTCCAATGGAGCAGCGAGACGTCATGAGCAGGGTGACGTGAGCTCCAGGAAGTATAAAAGCGCATCCGGCAGAGCGCAAGTTAGCTTCTGCTCTTCAGTAGAGCTCTGTGTATGTGTCAGTCTATTTACTGTTGTCTGTCAGTCAACAAGCATTCAAAAGAATATGTCAAAGTCTAAGCAAAAATCTATGGCGAGCGAACGGCATTTCGGCATTACAGACGTTGTGTTCCTCCCTGCCTACGCTATCTGGCAGCGGGGGACACACACAATCTGTGTGTTGTTTGTTTAGGAGCGGAGCATGCACGGTCAGCTTTCGAGGGAGCTGATTGTCATCACTGCGAGTTACTCTCACTGTGTATGGTCTGCTCTCGCCTTACATCTCGTATTACATCAACGATTGGTTGATACTAGCTCGATCGGAGCAGATGGCGGCTCGGCATCGAGATGCTAAGAGCAGTCAACATCCCTGGGTATCTCAATCAGGGAGCAGACATCCTGTCGAGACAGGGGCTGAGGCCTGGGGGCTGGAGACTCCACCACGAGGTGGTGGAGCTCCTCTGGAGGGAATTTGCCCAGGCGGAAGTGGATCTATTTGCATCACAGGAAACGACACACTGCCCGCTCTGGTTCTCCCTCACGCATCCAGCTCCACTGGGGCTGGATGCCATGGTACAGACATGGCCGACGCTTCGTCTGTACGCTTTTCCCCCGATCGCTCTGCTCCCGAGAGTTCCGGAGAGAGTACGCCGGGATGGGGTCCATCTGTTGCTAGTAGCCCCGTTCTGGCCGGCCCAAGTATGGTTCTCGGACCTGGTGTCCCTCCTCGACGGCTCTCCGCTGGAGATTCCGATCAGGAGGGACCTCCTCTCTCAGGCGGGGGGCACCTTTCTTCACCCCCGCCCGGAGTTATGGAAGTTGTGGACATGGCCCCTGAGGGGGCACAGCTCCTAGCATCTGGTCTCTCAACTGAGGTTGTTGAGACTATACTCCAGTCCAGAGCTCCCGCCACTAGGAAACAGTATGCCTTAAAGTGGAAGCTTTTCACTTCATGGTGCGGACAGCGACTGCAAGACTCAGTCAACTGCCCAATTGGTACAGTTCTGGAGTTTCGGCAGGAGCGATTCTCCGCAGGGTTATCTCCCTCCACTCCGAAGGCATACGTGGCGGCCTTAGCTGCTAACCCTTCTGGGTGGTCAATCATTGGGAAGACACCCACTTATCACTCGTTTCCTCCGTGGCACCCTGAGGCTGAGGCCGGTACAGCGCATTAAGGTGCCCTCATGGGACCTGGCTGTGGTTCTGGAGGGCTTATGCAATGTCCCCTTTGAACCCATAGAAGAAGTTTCAGTCAAGTGGCTCCCGCTCAAGACTATCTTTCTCCTCGCTATTTCCTCACTTAAAAGGATCAGGGATCTGCAGGCACTTTCTGTTTCGTGCCTGGAATTTGCTCCAGGCATGGTTAGGGCATTCCTTTACCCGAGGGTCGGGTCCCTAAGGTGCCCACTTCTTCGCCAGGGCCAATAATACTTCAGGCATTCTGTCCTCCTTCCAGGAAGTAGGCCAAGAAAGGCTTAATCTGCTCTGTCCAGTTAGAACACTGGACGCTTACGCACACAGAGCTGCCCCGTGGCGTAAGGCAGATCAGCTGTTTGTTTGCTTTGGTCCGCCAAAGAAAGGATCTCCGGCTACCAAGCAGACTATGAGTAGGAGGACATTTGTGCTGCGGCGGGCTAGTCCTCTCCGCACACTTGTGTCCGCTTCTATAACCTAGACCTGGCATCTACCCAACTCCCTGCATCCCTCCAGGTGCTACTTCATCGAAGCTAACTTGCGCTCTGCCGGATGCGCTTTTATACTTCCTGGCGCTCACGTCACCCCGCTCGTGACGTCTCGCTGCTCCATTGAACTGATTTTACATGTGCTTCAGAACACGGTCACGCAGGGGCGTTTCCAAAGCGAATCTCGACACAGCGTCTCGTTCCCTCGGGGAACCATGGTTACATACGTAACCTAGAGACGTTTACACTCAGTATTAAAAATGCAGCGACCATGACAAACTGCTAAAAACAACAATGCAAAATGCGATACAATAATCAAAGACCAAGCAATGGCCATTTGATTGTCTATAACAAAGTAAATGTGGACAAATTTAAAACTTTGATGGAGTTATTACATGCAAACATCACCATGATAGATTAGTCAACCTCACAAATTGACTAGTAGGTTGTGGTATATATATATATATATATATATATATAGAGAGAGAGAGAGAGAGAGAGAGAGAGAGAGAGAGATGACACTGTGTTTAATACACTATGAACAAGTGTGAACGATGCGATCCCTCGTCAGCTTCGGTTTTACTCTGTGCCGATGGCACCCAGCACTTCCTATGTGCAGACTGGATGAAAGCATGAGAATGAGTAGTTTCCAGTGTCTGGCACTGAGGAGAAGGGACACTGAGCTGTCTAATAGTATAAGATCGGCTCTCTCTAATTGGGAGAGAAGTGGGACTTCCTTCTGGAAGCAGGCTGGAGATGGAGAAAGCACTGCTCTGTTTCGACAAACTGGATAGAACAGGAGGCTGGAGGGCTTAACCTAAGGCTAGGAAAAACAGACTGAAGAAACACACAAACTTAAACCCGGGCACATACACACACTGATACACAGTGTGCATGCCCACACTATAAGCTTCTTAAAATATTACACCATAAGAGACTTGACATTGTGAATTGGAGGATAAATTAAATGTAGTTTTTCCCAAAAATCTCCCCCACCTTCAAGTAACATTCCTACTCTTATCTCTTTTTAATGATTGGTTGCATCTACTGTACTGTCTGCAGAGTGAGTTTTACTCTCGGTGATAGAAGACACTCTTATACTCTGTCCTAACCAGGTGGGATACAACAAATTTCCAGAGAACTGTTTTTTTTTTTCCCTGTTTGCACTGAGATTACCATGGACAGGGCTACATGGACCAGCTGGCAAAATGTTGACAAAATGTTGCATATTAATTATCATAGACATATTATTATTATTATTATTTAATTTGATGTATGTATGTATGTATGTATTTATTTATTATTATTATTTTTGCACTGTGCCAATTTTTTACATATTTGACCCAAAGACTCATCAGTGTAAAGTGTCCAAATGTTTTTCAGAGTAAAGTATTTAAAAAAAAATAATTCTCATTAGATTATGTAATTATCGAAAAGATAATTACTGGAGGTATTTAAAAATATCAACAAATGAATGCTACTGTCACGAATCCGGTCTATAAACTTCCATTCACTTACCACCAGAGGTCACCCGCTCACTACATTGACTCTAACACTACACAGACTGTTACACATCACCCTGGACTACATTTCCCATGCTCCATTGCACTAATTGCAATCTCACCTGAAACCAATCACACACAGCTGCTACCAATAACACACAATATTTAAATCAGTCTCACACCACTATTCAAGGCCGAGTATTGTTTAGGCTATTTATCACTCACCTAGCGATAGCTACTCTACGGAGCCATTTCTAGTTTTTATAGTTTAGTCTTAGTCTTAGTCTTGCCTTGCCTTGCCTGTTTTCTCGTGTTCTGATTCCTGCCTGTGTTTCTCGGATTGCCCTTTTGTCTCGCCGTTCGGACTCTGTTTGCTCCTGCCTGGACTATTGCTCGTGTTATTGGATTGCCCCTCTTGTCAAGCCCTCTGGATAACGTTTGCTGTCGACTGACTCACACCCGTTTTGAACTACTCTTCGTCTTGCCCTCATATACCTGTTTGCCATTGTCTGAACCTTGCCTGTTTTATGACCACGCCTTTTAAATAAAAGCTTTGCAGATGGATCCGCACGTCTCTTGTCTCGGTTACAACTACCATGATGTAAAAATACTTCTACAATTATAGAACTAAAATACTATAAATACAAAATTTGTTGTTTTCACATTACAGTAATGAGAATTTCTTTAAGCAAAATTTATTTATTTATTTTGATTCTACGGTGTAATACATATGTTCTTCACAGATATGTTCTTCACAGGTTTTATTATTCATGAAGTAGTTTTAAAGTTTAAAGCAGAATTAAAGTGACAGATCCCGGCCAGCATAGCAGTGCAGTGGCAATCTCTGTCCCTGCCTAACTCTGAGCCGTCCCCATCAGCAGCATCATTGATGCTGGATAAGTGCCACTCCATTACACCTCAAATCCACCACTGCTGGCCTGGCTTACAGCCAATCAAGAGTATAGTCAGTCTACACAAATCCTACTCCTATTCCTGAGCAGCTAGACAGCTTTCAGCTCACACCTTCATTTATTAGAGGACGTTTAATTTGCTGTTAGATATGAACACATTACCATCGCACTGAAAGAAGAAATGAGAGCAGAGCATTGAGCTAAGGGCTCTGCTAATAGGCTATTTGCAGTTATTAGTTCACATTAATAATCTATTACCTGTCAGGCTAGCTCCTAAAAGAAGTAAACCTTCTGAAACTGCCATCAATGTCCACCAATATCAAACACCCAGCTTTTAAGATAGCAGAGATCCTCAAGTGGATTGCCGGGGGAGTCTCCAGCTAATGGCTTCATTTGAGCATCACGGCGATAAAACCTGGAATTCTGGGGGGAAAGAGATTTCTGATGGTCAGGTGATATAGATAGGTATTCTTACCTTGTTTTAGGGGATGTTGTCAACCATTCCTCGTGCTTTTCAAATGTTATCAAGTATGCTGCAATTTCCTGTCAAACAGAAGACAGAAAGAGAGGTAGGCGTTAGTTACAGAATATCAACAGCTTTTTAACACGTGCACATTAATAAACTGAAATGAATGGATTGTAAAGCGCACTCAGAAATAAACATGCATTAAAATAAGCATTAAAAATTGATAGAACAACCATTTAAAATGTATACGGCAATGTTGCATTCAAAACCAACTCGCAAGCTCGTGAACAGCACTGTGGAAATTGCTTTCAGCAGATTTTGTGGACATAGTTGCTCCCTCATTGTGTGAAGCTCACATTATATTATATGAAGACGTGAATGACATGAAAACCTCCTTTACACTGGCTCTTTGATTGCTGTAACAAAAGATAAATTATTTCTTGGGATGCACAACAAGCATGACAGTAGATGATGCAATTTCTGGTACCATGTTAACCCAGTCATCACTGTCACCCAACAAAAGAGACAAGTGGATGAGTAAAACGTAATACCCATCATTCCTTCACAAAGTTAATCATGGGAAATGAAAGCAGACCGGGTATTGACAAGCAACCTCATGATTACCTGTGATAGCCAGCCATTCATTTCACACTGAGGGCATTTGTCATACAAAGACAGCAGGAAATGTGGAGGGACACAAACAATGTTATCAAACAGGAGTCCAATTATTTCCTGAACTTAACGCATTATACTGAAATGGAATAAACAGCTTTAAGATTTATAAAGACTTGCCACAACATTGCTGACAGAGAGTTCAAGAGCATTTCTGCTGAAGTGATGAGCAATGTTTTCTTGAAACTTTACTATTTATGTATAAGTTTCTGGCAGATTTAATTTAATGTTACATGCAGCTCCAAAAGATTAATCACAGGTACATAACAGCATAAAAGTTATCTACTTTGATTTCATTACAAGTTTTACAATTCAAAAGGCTTTTCATTGAAATCACTTAAATAGTGGTTCACCAAAAAAAAGTCAGTCAATAAGCTTACTTTCTAGAACATTACATCAAGCAGTCTACATAATGTAAACCCATCACACTACAATCAATTTCAATATTCTGAGCTTGACAAGATTTTATTTACTTACCAAATTAAACACTGTAAGCCTATCAATAATAGTCCAAATTCTACTCGAGTTACAACAACCAATGGTATTCGGTTGCCCTTAGGAGGTGTAATATATATAGTATTTATAGTCAGTAACTCCAAGCTTTAATCCTGTCACAGTTGGCAGTAGAGACATCCCTCAAGGTACCAGGGTGCCAGACTGGCAGTGCCCACACAGAGAATGCAAGAGTTGGCTATGGCCTGCAGGTGCTGTCTGAGAGATAGTGCTGTTCTGATTAACGTTCTGCCCTCCCGTCATCAGGGCCAGAGGGAAAGAGACAAGGACGAGAGGAAGAGGCTGTGGAATATGACCATAGAGAAGAGGAAGAGAACCTCTCCATAATGAGAAAAAATTCAAACAAAAAAAACACTTGCCTGGCTTGCCAAACTGAAAATGCTACAGATGAGTTACTATATTTTATTTTTCATAAGTTGTAAGCAGGATCTCCACAATTATCACCAATTTTTGCAGTAACTACACTTGCACTTAACTCGTTTTGCTAATTAAAAAAGAGAAAACTTTATCTTACTAAACACTTAATTAAAACAGTTAATGTCTGCAGTTAAGATAATAAAATAAGTCTTTGGTGCATGCTGCTAATTTATCGCGCTGCTTGTGAGTAATGTTTGTTTTACAATCCAGAAAGATAGCTGGGGGCAAAACTACTTCATTGACCTTGAGGCCCATTTGAGATTCTTCTTCTTTATCATTTTCCCATTAAGAGTCAACATGCCGACCTCAGAGCTGGGGGGATGAGCCGAGAGGCCCGGTCAAGTAAATAAAAGGCAAATGTCTGCATCCCCCACCCACTCCCCGAACAGATGTCGAGGATTATTCCAACCCCCAATCAGCCATAAAGGTGTAATAACCTTACAGCAAAAAAAGAAAAAAGAAAGAGAGAAAAACAAACAAAAACAAGCGAAGAGCCATTAAACAGCAGCAAGGGACAAAGTTTGTGCTGTGTTGTAATGAGCTGCTAGTGGTTGAACCATTTGGTGCAGTTGTCAAGATGGTGTATCAAAGTCTGGCCAGCAGCTGTCAATCAGCTACTGGCTCGATGGTCAATCCCTGAAGTGCTATTTAAAACTTGGGTCAGTGATATATGAGTGTTCATGATAAAGAAAATAATAAATAAAAAAAATTTACTCTTTGTATTCCTGTTGGTTTCATACGGTTTTGAAAAAAAATAAAAAATTTAAATTTTCCAATATGTTCAACATATTTTATATATACACATATATATATTTTGAAAATATTGGAAAACTTACAGTATTTACTTACCACCAGGCCATCCGAGACAAATATTATTTTTTTCAGCTGAAGAAAAATTAAGGTTTTGGAGGAAAATATTTCAGGAATTTTCTCCATCAAATGCAAGTAAACAAGGCTCACTGTAGACCATTGACAGTCCAAAATCTATATTTAGGGATTCCAGCCAACAAATATGATTCTTCTCCAGTGAAACGATTAGCCGTCTTTAGAACTTCTCGTGTGAAGTATGCACGTTGTAGGTCAGGTGTGAAGAACCACCCCATTGTTTACAAGCGGAACAGATTATAATGTTAAATTAGAATTAAATTAAAATAGAAGAGATAAGTGTCTGTGACCCATTAAAACAGACATAAAATTTTTTTTGTTTAGTTTTATGTTAGTTTTATATAGTTTACATCACACTGGTCACTTTATACACTAATATAAACTCACACTTATTCATGTTACATGCACTAGCACTTGTAACTTCATAATATGTATTTGTGGTTATTCGTATGTCTCTGGCTGCTAGAGGATTCACAGAGTAAGAATTCCATTGTATAGTGTAACTGTGTTTCCTGTACATATGACAATAAACTCTTTATTGATTGATTTAGTTCTACGGTGAACCCTGTTCACTTGCATTAACCTCCTGGGGTCGACGGTGGCGCCGGCGCCACCACGTGCATGTTTTACTGATAAGAGCAAAAAGAACTTAAAATGCTCGTTCATTTTTGTTTGTACACATAAGCGTAATACACCATTCGAATCTGTAAAGGGTTTACTTTTATTTGTGTACACTCACAATATCAACAAAACATTGTGCTTTTGCAAAATAAAGAAAATATAAAGGGTGTGCTTTTAGCCGTCTCATTCTCCGCGCATATCTGTTTGAAACGCGTCACTAAAATGAACTGAAACTCAGCGAATATTTGACACACACACATGAGAGACATATCTATAGAAAGCGTAACATGTCTACTTTTATTAAAAATAACAAATATTTTTATAACAAATATTATGTGACAAAGTAATCAGTATGAAACCAACGAGATGTCAAGTCTTGGCCGTCGCCCTCATTATCGCTAATGTGACCACGCCCAACATATTATAATGTTAATATGTTGAATGTTTTATACTCGGTCATTGGCGTTTGTGATCGTCTGATGTGTAAAAGTATCAAGTAAGCTGTAAATAAGTGATGCATCGACAGACATATACGCGCGTCCTTTCTTATCAGTGATGCAATTTATTTATCAGCTATGCATCTTCTGGTAATTTCTAACAACTATTTTAATTTTCGTTTAGGACTGTGGCTGCATCATTCGCATAATTACACAAGAAAGGCACACGTGTCGTTCAGTTTTGAGTTCGCTGGAAAATCATACTGAGTAAGTGCACAGTATAGTAATTGTACTTTTATTATGCCTAGACCATACGGTCATATTATTTGTGGTTGACAGAATGCCAATAACAAAGAAACTTCCTTTTAACACTGTTTTCTGTGTGAATCACAGCATTATTCATGATCATTCATGCCTACTCGCATACACCTTTTCTGCACAAAAAGTGCCTAAGAAAATTTAAATCAATATATTGTTTTCTGTGAATGAGTAAGATGATTTTCACATAATATTGAAGCAAAAACTCTAGACTTCAAGATCCAGTTCTCAAAAGTCTTGTGATCAAATGTTCTGTATGTGTTTTATGGCCTTATTTCAGTGACTTTAAAATTGTAGTTTTTCACTAAGCACGCATAAACGTTGTTTTCTCAAAAACACAATCACGTACATACATGCTGCTCACATATTATTGTAGCCCAGTTTGTGCTGATTACAGTGTTATTAAACTTTAGACATTCAAATGTTTGTAAGCAACTGAAAAAAACACAAATGTCAGGGCATGTCAAAACTTTTCCAGGCCCCAAAACACCCTCGGACCCCAGTTAAATGGAGAAAAAACCTGAAATGTTTTCCTCCAAAACCTTAAATTCTCTTCGACTGAAGAAAGAAAGCCATATACATCTTGGATGGCCTCGGGGTAAGTAAATAATCAGGAAATATTCATTTTTGGGCAAACTATTTCTTTAAATCTCATGTGGTGTGGTGACATGATATTTATGTAATATAAAAAATGTATATATATATATATATATATATACACATATACAGGTGCATCTCAGTAAATTAGAATGTCATGGAAAAGTTCATTTATTTCAGTAATTCAACTCAAACTCGTGTATTAAGTAAATGCAATGCACACAGACTGAAGTAGTTCAAGTCTTTGGTTCTTTTAATTGTGATGATTTTGGCTCACATTTAACAAAA